ATGCTCAGAGCATTGTGAGGCTCTCAGTGATTCATAGATTGTTAAAAGGTGCAGCTCAGAAACAGGTCCTCCAGACCGGCCGGTGTTTATTCTTCATATGAGTGCCCATCCTAGATCCAATTCCTGGTCCCATGATCTGACTCTTTCCCTGTATCCCTCAGCCTTATTCTCCCTGAAACATGCACCCAGACTGTTTTTTAATGTGCACATGGTTACCGCACCGACAACCGACTGTGACAGAGATTTCCGCACTCGCACACTCTCAAATTGTCCATTCTGGACCACCCAGTTCTGATTCTAAAACTATGCCCATTTGTCACATCTTTGAGATGTCTCAAAGCGCTTCACAGAATATACTGTCAAGTGAATTGACTGTTTATTTTATTTTGTATGCAGCCAATTGTGCACAGCAGCGTCCCACAAACAGTCCTGGATTGAAGTGACTAACTTTTTTTAAAGGATTTATTACCCATGGAAAGTCATCCGACAATCAACTGACAACCGGGTTCCTACTTATTGCTGGTAAACAGAGCCATGTAGAGTAAGGAAACTTGCCCAATGTCTTGCCCTGCCGGGAATCAAACCCAGGTCTCTCGCTTGCGAGGCAAGTGCTTTAAGCGCTGAGCTACAGGACATCACATAATAAGCAATGGGGGAGGAAGAGGAGCAGTTGGGGGGAAGTGTTGGTGGGGGTTGATATGCTGCACAGGGAGACTGGGAGCTCAAAGTCCACCAGGGCTCAAACCCATGAGGGTAATGTGACGCCACCTGGACATGGTGTAAGTACAACGTTGCCTTAGGCACAGCACACACCCGTGAAAGGATTGAATCAGACAGGATCTGGTGAGAACAAAATCTGTTGGTTGATCTCGCAGCCAAGTTCAGGTACACTGAGTGCTTTTGATTTCTTATCGGAGTGGTGGAGCAGTGGGCAGGTAACAGAAGGGTGAGAGAGAGAGGGACAGGTAGCAAAGGCACAGATGACAGATAACAAGGCACCTTTCAGGGCAGGCTCAAGGGGCCAAATGGCCTACTCCTGCTCCTATTTCTTATGTTTCTTATTTAAGAGACTGGAGGAACTGGAACTTTTTCCCACTGGAACAAAAAAGCTCAAGGTTTGACCTGAGAGAGTTCTTTAAAATGATGCGAGAGTTTTGATAGAGTCAGTAAGGATAACTGATTTCCGCTGGTCAGTGATGAGAGGGCATCAATTTGACATAGTCAGTGAGTAAATGGGGAGGTTAGGAGGAGTTGCTCCACACACATTGTGGCAGCATGTGGAATGCCCTGCTGGGAGTGTTGGTCGAGACACGATGCATATTGGCTACATAAATACTTGAACAAATAACCTGCGCGGTACATGGAAAGGGGACTGAAAGGACTGCTCTTGAAGGAGCTGGCACAGGCGCAATGGATTGAATGGCTGTCTTCTGTGCTGTAAATTTCCATGGTTCTCTGGTCCTTTCAGCAAAGCTTCCAACCCTTAAAGCAAACCGTGGGAGGCCTTGACCATCAGGTCAGTGTTAGGGAACAACTTGACTGAGACTGATGCAGAGACCCTCATTACAAAAAAACCTTGCTGAGAGATTTACTGAGTGAGGTGAACTAGAAATGAAGCGGACATTGTTTGGAGGCAAAAGCTGGCCGCTGCTCTGTGCACTGGGCTTTGCGGCCACACACAGCAACAACAACTTGCAATTATATAGCGCCCTTCACACAGGGTTGCGTCCCAGAGCACTTGACAGTGATGGAGTCTGACAACGAGCTAGCGGGAGAGAGAGTGGGGAGGTGACCATAAGCTTGATCAAAAAGCAAGGTCTTCAGGTAGGATTTGAAAGTGGGGAGGGCCAGTGGGGAAGCAAAAGTGGTTTCTAATGGAATATTTGACAAGGGAACGTCAGAATCCAGCCAACCCTCTGTGGAGAGCATAATACTCTGTGGAGAGCATAATACTCTACGAATTAGGTAAATAGGGTGTATCGCTCCAGGTTTAGAGACTCTTAACTATGGTGACACTGATCTGATCAAAAAAGTCAGGCTAACCAGGAGAGAAACAACACCTTTCCTGAAGGAGACTCCAGTCAGTTGGGCGATCTTCCCTGACGAGAGTGAGAGGAGGGACTGAGTGAAGTCTGGAATCTCCAGCAGATCTGTACACTCCAAGACAAGCATCAAATGACCTGAGAAATTAAATATTGGCCACTTCATTCATTCTGACTTTTTTATCTGAATGTCCCACTGCTCAAGCATGTAGGGGCTGATGTGATAATAATCTGTACAGTCACGTTTGAGGAGCCAAAGCCGCTGATAAATATCAACTCGGGGTCTTTTTCTGCTATAAATAGCAGTCACTGGCCACACTGAACACAAAGTCATCTTGCGACTAACTGTGAAGATGAAGTTCCTAATCCTCCTCCTTCTTGTCGGGCTCCTGGCGATGGAGTCAGCTGTTCAAGGTGGCGCTCTCCTCTTCTGCTATATCCACCCCTTTCCCTTCAGGTCCTGAGATCGGGTTAGGCTGCGGATGCTGGTGAGCTAAGTGATTCTTACACTCCACACTCGTCTCCGCTCCTATAATCCCTCTTCTCAGGCACCCTGTCCTCGTCTCCTTCATTGCTTTCTCCCTCTCAACGCCACTCAATCTCCCTCTATTTCACACCTTTAATCCACTCTTCTCCACCCCTTTATCTCCCTCTCCTACATTCCTCTGTTCCTCTCTCCCTCCACCGTGCCCCTTTCCTGCACCCTTCTATTTCCCTCTTCCACATGCTGCCTCTTTGACCAACCTTGAAATAATGGGAGCTTCCCTTTCCTTACATCACTCGTAAAAAACAATGATTGATGTCAAGATCCTCGTTCCCAGCTTCAAATCCCTCAACGCCCGGCCCCCAGGGAGCACGGTCTGTTTCACGTTCCCCCAGCCTTAACCACCGCACCATTGGAGGCATCCTGCCGCCGCTCTGCGGAACTCCATCTTGGAGACTCTGATGATGCCTCAACTCGTTCAAGGTCCATCCCAAAACATAACTGTTTGACAGCCTTCAGTCATTTCCCCCATCAGCAGCAATGCCTGAATACTGTGGACCTGCCTGGCTCAGGAACTCACTCCTGAGACTGCACAGAATGGGCTCGATTCCGACATTCTTTGCCAAGCATGTCACCTTTGAGCCAGTTCAGCCAAGGAGATCCCGTTATTCCCCAGGATTGAGAGACAGAGAGAGAACACACAGAGAGATAGAGCGAGAGAGAGAGAGCGCTGCAGAAACAAGTTGAGTTTTTGTTGTGAGACATGTTGAAGCTGCTATTTGCTCACTCTGTTAACATTTAACCTCATTTGATCTCCTCACAGGTCAAAATTACTACCCACCATACCAAACAGTGGATTAAACCTAACAATATCTCTTCTCATGGCCGTGTTCTCCGCTGTCTGGACTGTGTGATGCTGACGATTCCTCTTGTTGTGAGATGTGGATTGACGTTTAGTCAATGACAATAACATTTATATGTTTATAAGATGTGGATACTCTTTTCAAAGATGGGCCAAATGGCCTCCTCTGTGCCGTATAATTATATGATTCTATGATATCATCTTCTCTTCGCAGTGGCCTTATGTAAGTCATGAAACATACAGTATCTATGCCGTCATCGCTTTGGTTCGCCAAACCGTACCGTACAAACTGTTTCACAACGATGTTGATTGGCGAGCTCCACACCCCAACCCCCCATCAAAGCTTTGAGGCACTGTTAGGTGAAACAGAGACAGAGAGACAGACAGACAAACAGAGAGACAACGACAGAGAGAGAGATTGAGGAGACAGACAGCAAAATGAGAAACGCAAAGAGACTGAGAGAGAGAGAGACGAGAGGGGAAAGACAGAGAATGGGGGGCAGAGAGAGAAGAGCGAGAGGCAGAGACAAAAATATTTATTTTGTTAAAGTATGTTTTTCAACTCGTAAAGAGCATTGCATCTCCAACAGGGATTCAAATCACAAGACTGATTCACTGATGTTCTGACTGACCCACAACCTGCACAAGGCTCACACACTGATTGTATACGGGGAAACCTCACACAAGCTCTGAACCTCTCTGCACCTCTCACCCTCACACACACAATACAGGTTACATTTACAGAGTAACAGCCACATTCACCAGGGTGGTGTCTCGGAGAGCTGCAGGGGCTCGGCGAGGGAGAGGGGTGATCATAGGTGCCATTGAAGAGGCAGGTCTTCAGGTGGGGAATTCAAGACAGATAAAGGGGGGGTGGGGGCTGGCGTGGAGGCATTGAGGCAGGGAAAATCCATTAAGAGTGCAGTGACTGTAAGCGTGACCGAATGGGAGACATGGAGCAGGGCCGGTGCTACTCATTGAACAAAGGGAGTGGCTGTGCTGGTACGGCTTGAGGAGATCACAGAGGGAGGATGTGGGTGTGGGGTGGGGGGCGGTTGACAGTGCGAAAAGAATGAAATTCTTGACTTGATCTCCTGGAGGTGGGGAAATGGGGGTGATCGGCTTTGGGAGCCTTGGTGCAGGAATGGAGGACATGAGATGAAGATGTTTCTATTTTGAGATCTGGAGTCAAGTTTAGTCAATCATGTTAATGTTTATATTCGTTTCCTCTGACAGGTCCGTGTGGGTGGTGGTAAGTTTTATTCACCGTACCTTGCGAGCTCTCTAACGTGACCCCTCTTTGTTCAGTTTGGAGCCCCAGGCTGGTGTCTCGGAGAGCTGCAGGGGCTCGGCGAGGGAGAGGGGGTGATCATAGGTGCCATTGAAGAGGCAGGTCTTAAGGTGGGAATTCAAGACAGATAAAGGGGGGGTGGGGGCTGGCGTGGAGGCATTGAGGCAGGGAAAATCCATTAAGAGTGCAGTGACTGTAAGCGTGACCGAATGGGAGACATGGAGCAGGGCCGGTGCTCACTCATTGAACAAAGGGAGTGGCTGTGCTGGTTACGGCTTGAGGAGATCACAGAGGGAGGATGTGGGGACGGGGGTGGGGCGGGTTGACAGTGAGAAAGAATGAAATTCTTGAACTCGATCTGCTGGAGATGGGGAAATGGGGGTGATAGGCTTGGGGAGCCTGGTGCAGGAGAGGGAGGACATGAGATGAAGATGTTTCTATACTTTGAGATCTGGAGTCAAGTTTAGTCAATCATGTCAATGTTTATATTTGTTTCCTCCTGACAGGTCGGTGGTGGGGTGGTGGTAAGTTTCATTCACCGTACCTTGCGAGCTCTCTAACGTGACCCCTCTTTGTTCAGCTTGGAGCCCCAGGCTGGTGTCTCGGAGAGCTGCAGGGGCTCGGCGAGGGAGAGGGGGGTGATCATAGGTGCCATTGAAAAGGCAGGTCATAAGGTGGGAATTCAAGACAGATAAAGGGGGGTGGGGGCTGGCGTGGAGGCATTGAGGCAGGGAAAATCCATTAAGAGTGCAGTGACTGTAAGCGTGACGAATGGGAGACTGGAGCAGGGGCCGGTGCTCACTCATTGAACAAAGGGAGTGGCTGTGCTGGTACGGCTTGAGGAGATCACAGAGGGAGGATGTGGGGGGGCGGGTTGACAGTGAGAAGAACGAAATTCTTGAACTCGATCTGCTGAAGGTGGGGGAATGGGGGTGATAGTTTGAGGAGCTGGTGTGGGGGAGAGAGGACATGAGATGAAGATGTTTCTATATTTGAGATCTGGAGTCAAGTTTAGTCAATCATGTTAATGTTTATATTCGTTTCCTCTGACAGATCCGTGGTGGCGTCGTGTGGTAAGTTTCATTAACCGTACCTTGCGAGCTCTCTACGTGACCCCTCTTTGTTCAGCTTGGAGCCCCGTCCAACGAGAGCGTTGATAGTGAAATTATCCAGAGCTCAGTGGGAAGAATCCCTGGTCCCACACATGCTGCTGATAAGCTGGGCCGAGCCGGTCTTTGGTAGACAGTGCCCTGGAGAACTGTGGAGTCACTTGGCTCAGGAACTATGCCACTGATTTACATCGACTGTACAACATGAAGAAGTCATTTGACTAACCAGCCTGTGCCGGTGTTTATACTTTATACAAGTCTCCTCTCTGGCACCCGTGCCTCTCACCTTGCACACACCACAGTAGAGCATCATCGTCCAGCTCCTATCAGACATTCTCATTAATGTTTCCAAACCACTCGATCCTCACCCTTAAAAACGACCTCTTCCTGACGCCAGCGATTCCTCTTGTTGGGAACTGTGGAGGGACATTTCGTCAGTGACATTAATGTTTATATCACGTTCTCTTCACAGCTTACTAGGATCCCAAGGTAAGAATCAAAATCAGAATATTTCATGTGTTAAAAGTTGTGTTTCCAACTCTCTGGAGAGTTTTCCGATAGGAATAGTATTTGAAGAGAGAACAAAGAACAGGGAAAGAGCAGGGCATGGGGTTAGAATAGAGATCTCTAGTGTTGGAGCGAGCACCAGCACAGACAGGATGGGTAGAGCAGGGGAATGGGATTAGAATAGAGAGCTCCAGTGGGGGAGCGAGCACAAGCAGACACGATGGGAGTAAGAGCATGCGAGCCCGATTAGTGCAGTGGGTGAGTGAGCACCAGCATCGATACGACGAGGAAGGAGTAGGGGGAATGAGATTAGAATAGAAAACTCCAGTGGGATCGGAACATGCTGTGATTTAATGATGAGAACCTTTACAGTTTGCACAGAGCCCCTGACGTGGGGCCTAAACCCACAACTCAGTGCCTCACAGGTGTTGGGTTCTTTCTTACCGCGATTGGATCCTCGCCATTAACCAATAAAGGTCTGAACACAGAGTTGTACAATCACGACAGTTTATTCAACAATGTAACAGAATATACTACCGGATAAGCCGTCGTACCTGATGACCAGCACTCGGCTCCGCAACCTGTAGTTCTTACTCTGTGGAGCTCAACTTTTCTTTGTGTGTCTGTTGTATTTATACCCAGCTCGTTGGTGTACCCGTGATGCCTCGTGATGGTACTTTTCCACTTGCCTATGTGCCCTGCTGAGACGAGTGTACCTCCTTATCCAGCTCCTTGTCCGTACTCCCTGTTCTTCCTCAATCAGTATGTTCATAACCTTGCATTCCAGTCTCTAGTCAGGAGCCCCACTCACAGGGGCATATGAGCCATCTATTCTGTTAACCTGTTCTTGTACTAACACAGGCGAGTGTGCGAGTGGCATAGTCAGGCTGACACCCAATTAATGTCCTCTTGTCTTTCAGGGAGCAACTGCAGCTCAGGCTGCCTTCCCAGAGCAGAACCTTTGTGATTTCTAAGGTCGGCCTCTGATCAATTTAATCATAGTTTCTGCTTCTTGGCTCTTTGAGAATTCACTCCAATGATCTGAGTGAAGAATCAAAGGTGTGGATATGATTGTAGCTCTGGATCAATTGTGCCTGTCCACCCATCAACCAATCCAACCATTCATGCACCCATCCACCTGTCAAATCATCCACCCACCCATCCGCCCGTCCATGCATCCATCCATCCAGCCATCTATCTGTCCATCCATCTGGAGGAATCGATCCATTCTTGGCTCTGCTGCTTATGGTCCTCACGGTAAAGAGATGATTCTGACACATCCCCCAGTCCAACGCCACCCGGACAAGCTCTCAGCCATCACCTTCCTGTCCGTCAGCACCAGAGCTCAGGCCACGGGCCTTCGGGGGCTGTGAGAGGCAACAATCTGTGGACAAGGTGCTCTGCTAACATCAATGAGGCTGGTTGAGATACAACAAGACAAGACCATTCTTAAGCCTGGGAAGAACAGACCAACGCCCCCACTTAGAGTTGGGAGAAATCCCTTTAAATGACCAGAGAAAATCCCCCCCCCTACAATCTGATAGATTTTGGGGTTCCCAATTCCATTGGAATGTGTGGGGAAGCCAGTCTCTCGCCCACGTTCTCATTCCCTCATGACTGCCATGAGGAGCCTCTGCTCTCCTGTGTGTCTCGGGATGAGGTGCTGTCCAGTGCGGGCGGCTTGATTCCGGTCTCTCTTTCCAAGTCGCTGTAAACTCTGAGCCGATCGGCACAATCTGCATCTAATGCTTGTAATGAGATATCCTTTCTCTGCCTCACTGCAATGTCACTAACCTGGTAATAAAGATTCAAAGCATCACAAAAAAGCCTGGTCTTGTCTAAAGTTTATCTACAACAACAACTTGTGTTGACGCAGCGCCCTTCATTGTGGGGTAACGTGTCAGTGGCGGAGCCCGATGTTAAGCGGGGGAGAAACGGAAGGCAATCGTAGGCACGCTCAAAGAGGAAGGTCTTCAACCGCGATCTGAAAATGGTGCATATGTGGAGGGGTTGAGGGGTCGTTTACTGGAAATGTCCTCAAAAAATTCTATGAGATTTGTCAAACATGACTTCCCTTTTGTAAAGCCATGTTGACTTGGCCTAATTATATTGTGCCCTAAATACCGCACTACCACATCCTTAATCAACGATTCTAAAATTTTTCCTATCACTGATGTGAGACTAAGTGGCCTATAGTTCCCCATATTTTCCTTTGCACCTTTTTTAAATAGTGGTGTTACAATTTTTACATTTTTGTTACATTTTTGTGGAGTCCTGTAGCTCAGTGGTTAGAGCACTCGCTTTGCAAGTGAGAGACCTGAGTTCAATTCCAGGCAGAGGGCGAAACCTTGGGCAAGTTTCCTTACTCCACACAGAGCCTAATAATAATCCCTCCAAAACCACAAACAATAATAAATTGGTCATTTTCAATCTCCGACTGTTTGTGGGACATTGCTGTGCGCCATTGGCTGCCGCGTTCGCCCACAAATATACAGTCAATTCAGTTTACAGTGTGTTCTGTGAAGCGCTTTGGGATGTCCTCCCGACGTGAAAAGCGCTATATCAAATGCAAGGATTATTATTATTATTACATTTGCGATCTTCCAATCCATGGGGACTGTTCCAGAATCCAAGGAATTTTGGAAGATCAGACATGAGGCCTCTACTATCTCATAAGCTCCTCTTTTAAAACCCGGGGATGCAAAACATCCGGATCAGGGGATTTGTCACTTTTTAGTGCTAACTGTTTCCCGAGCACCAATTCTCTAGTAATGAAAATTTCCCTAAGTTGCTCCCTGTCCTCATCCCTTTGGCTCATCTCTATTGTTGACAGACTGGTTGTGTCTTCTCGGGTGAAGACAGATGCAAAGTACCCATTCAGGGACTCTGCCATGTCCGTGTCCCCCATTACAACTTCTCCCATCTCTGACTGAAGTGTCTACATTTACCCTCACAGTCTATTCCTCTTCATATATTTGTAAAAACTTTTACAATCTGACTTAATGTTCCTCGCTCGCTTACCCTCATACTCCTTTTTCTCGCTCTTATTGAGTTTTTTAGTTCTTTTTTGCTGGTTTCTAAAACTCTTCCAATCTTCAGATTTGCCGCTTTTCTTGGCAGTTTTATAAGCCTTTTCTTTTAATTTGATGCTTTCCCTCACTGCTCTAGTTAGCCACGGATGAATTGCTTTCCCTGTGGTACTCTTATTCCCCAAGGGAATATGCTACCGCTGAGAATTATGCACTGCATCCTTAAATATTTGCCACTGTTGGTCAACATTTTTACCTCTTAATCTTATTCTCCAGTCTACTTTACCTAAATCTTTCCTCATACCTACAAAATTAGTCCTATTTAAATTCAGAATACTTGCCTCGGATTTAACTATATCCCTCTCTAACTTAATGCAGAATTCAAACATATTGTGATTACTCTGCTCTCGAGGATTCTTAATACCTTCACTGCCGACTCACCCTGTTTCGTTACACAAAACAAGGTCTAGGATGGCCTGTCCCCAGTTGGTTCCTCGGCAGCTGCTCTAGAAAGTTATCTCTCATACACTCAATGAACTCTTCTTCTGACCCACATTTGCCAATTTGGTTTTCCCAATCTATGTGGAGATTGAAATCACCCACTATTATCGGTTTACCTTTCCTACACACTCCACTGATTTCTTGATTGATACCCTGTGCTATACTGTGATCGCTGTTTGGGGGTCTATAAACCACTCCCATTAATATTTTCGGCCCTTTATTATTTTTTATTTCACACCCATATTGTCTCAACCTCCTGGTCATCGGATTTCAGATCCTTCCTCTCCACTGCTTTTATTTTATCCCTAATTAACAGGGCTCCCCCACCCCCACCACTTTTCCCACAGTGCCTATCTTTCCTGTAAACTGAGAACTCTGGAATATTTAACTCCCTCGATCTCCTTGTAACCATGTTTCAGCGATGGCTACTGGATCATACCCATATGTGTCTATCTGTGCTTTTAATTCATCAGTTTTATTCCGAATGCTTCGTGCATTCAGATATAACATGTTTAATTTCCTACCATCGCCTCTCCTCTCTGATTCCTTATCGGCTTTGCCAAGCTTCTTAGCCCTCGTTAACGTATTCCTACTATCTGGCATGCTATTCTGCATTGTCACCTTTACTATTTCTAATGCTAATTTATGGTTTCTCTTACCTATATATTTCCCCCCTCTTTACTAGTTTAAATTGCTATTTATTTCCCTGTTAATTCGTTTAGCTGGGACGTTTGTCCCAGCACGATTTAAATGCAGCCCTTTTCTCCGAAAGAGCTCTCTTGTCCCCCAATATTCATGCCAATGGCCCATAAAAAGAAACCCCTGATTTCCGCACCACTCTTTTAGCCGTGTGTTCAAGTCCTTAATTTGTTTGTTCCTGTACCAGTTTGTTCCTGTACCGCACTGTCTCTGATACTCCGCAGGGTCTGCACCTCGGAAGCTTGGCAGAATCTGTGGTTTCTAAACCTTGGCTCTTGCCAGTCTGTGCCTAATACTCCAACACATGGGAGTGACCAATTTTATCCGGGGGTTTGTCAGACAGGATTTTTTTTTCAAATAGCGAGTGGGATCTTTAATGTCTTTCTCTACAGGCAGACGGAACCTCAGTTTAAAGCCTCATCCGAAAGTCGGTACCTCCGGCTTCCAATGCAGGGCTCCCCCCAACACTGCACGAGAGTCAGTCTAGACTGGGTGTGGTTCAGTTCAGAGACCTTTAAGCATGGTGATAGGTTTGTTCGTGTGTTAGATACCTGGCTGACCAAGAAAACCACCAGCAGGTCTCCCCGGAGCATTCATCCATGTTGCCCAATTTACTGCAGTAAATGCATCACATTAATTATTGCCTTTTAACAAACATGCCGTGAATGTACACTAGCATTCTTCGCACAGCCGTATTCAGCTTCTTTCTCATTCGTAGAGTGTGATAGATCAGCAGATCCTTATGCACACACACGTATACACACGAACACACGACATGACCTTGAGAGCTGCCTGTCTTACTTTGATTTACTAACTTTATAAATAGTCCCTAAAAAGTGACAATCACGAGTTACAGAGTTCAAAAAGGTGAGACTCTGCAACTTCGCCCACACACACACACATACACAACAACAAATTACAATTCCATTGCACCTTTCACGTCACCCACACCCATCCACACACAATATAATACCCCTCTACACACACACATGTACTTCACAATACCCACTCACAAACACACTCACACACATCTCCACACTCCACACCCAAATCTCAACACCCCAGCAGCGCAGCGACTCCTGTATCATTCACTTGGAAGACCCAACATCTATACCTGGAGCCATTCTTACACCTGGAGCCACTCCTATAAAAGGGAATAACTGCCATAACTCAGGTGGCAGTTATTCCCTTTTGTGTTTGGTGTGAACGACATGCACACTGCGAGCACTAACACTGCTCTTGTGTTTGCAGATTGTGGCACACGGGTATTCACTGGAGGACCTCCTGAGCAGTGCCACGAGAGATGACCTGACGTACACTCAGATCAGGTAATGTCTGGCTCTCGTCTCCTGAAACCCAATCCTTTCTCTTAATGATAACTTCCCTGCTCCTGGGTCATGTGCTGTTCCCACAGCGAGAATAGTAACAATAATCCTTGCATTTGACATAGCGTCTTCGAGACGCCCCAAAGCACTTCACAGAATATACTGTAAAGTGTATTGACTCTGTATTTTGTGGGCAAATAACTTCTGGGCCACTGGGCCAGGTGTGAGGTGAAGGTCTCCATTCACAGCACTGGGTAGGACACAATCAATAAACCAGGAAAGTTCTAAGTGGGAAAATTAAATCTCAATCACTGAGGCACGTTTGGCTGTCATGCCAGTCAGCGAGCTCTGACTCACTGACCAGGCAACAAAATACACAGTCACTTCATTCACATAAATCCCGTGAACAGCTTTGAAAGGTCTTTCCGACGTGATAATGTGCATTAACCAAATCCAATATTATTACTATTGATTGAGGCTAGTTGTTAACATGATTGGAGATGCACTTTATTACCTCTGAGCGGGTGTCTGTATAGAGAGTGTGGCTGTTGCAAATGGCTGGAAGTAGTGACGACAGCAGAAATCTGTTATAATACTCTGTCGATTTTATGTATCGAAACCACCATATTACAACAGAAACCAACTGTGCTGTTTGGTTTTAAAACATAGTATAATGTGTTTGTGTGTTTGTGTGTGTGTATCTATGTACAGTATATGTGTATGTTACTGTATTGTGTGTGATTGTGTATACTTTTTGGGAATACGCGTGTGTGTGTGTGTCTCGATACTTAGTATGGATGCTTGCATGTGTATGTGTGCGTGTGCGTGCATACGTTTGCATGTGAGAAGTATGTCTAGTGGTTGGTGTGTGTCAGATTATCCCCTTGTTTCTCTGTTGCAGAGGTGGAATGCTTCTCAAGCTGTGGGCAGCTATCAGTGCTCACCGAAGTGGGCACTGAGCAGTGAGTTACCTGCAGTGTTCTGATCCCTATCTCTGGATGGCAGCATCCAGGACAAACTCTTCATGGCAACACAGGCCTCATAGAGCGGCAGCTGGATGTGATGGCGGTGCCCACAGGCAATATGTGGGCAAAAGGGCAAAAGATCTGGAGCTGCTCCTACCCCTGGGGCCGCTCCGACCCCTGGAGTCATTCCAATCTGCTTTGTGCCAAGCGATGCTGTTCCGTTGAGGGCAGAAGAGCAGAGGAGTGCCTGTGGATTCGATGCTGACATGTACACACGCGGAGAATGAGAACTTTAAAGGTGGCAGAATTTTGGGGTGGGTGACCCATCCTCGCTCAGTGCTGTGTACCAGATACAACAACAATAACAACTTGCACTTATATAACGCCCCTCAGGCAGGGCAGCGTCCCCAGACACGCTGTGCTTCCCAATTGTCCACACACCCTCAACCTCTCCTGTTTTTTTTCCTATAGTTCACGTCGTTGGACGAGGATTGAATGCTGCGCTGTGTTGCTAATGATGACAGGCACTTTATACTTTTAAGTTTCAAGAGAATCATTCCGAGGTTTCAGTGGATTTTGCCGCTGTTTTACCAAAGAAACTGACAAGGTCAAAATTCTCTCCCGTGTGCTGAACATTGGAGAGAAACATGTAGCAATCTATTTTATTGTTTGCATTCATTTGCAGGATGATATGTGACATAATACAGGATATGAAAATATTTGATCACAAACCATGTTACCTTTTATTGGGTTAGTGGACAATCTCTGAGTTTGGGACCCAGCCATGGGCAAACAGCTATGGAGTCCTGTAGCATAGTGGTTAGAGCGCTCCCCTCCGAAGTGTGAGGATCCAGGTTCGATTCCCAGGCAGAGTGAAACCTTGATCAAGTTTCCTTACTCCAATCGCTCTGTTTCCCTAGCAGTAAGTATAAATCCAGTTGGTAGTCGATTGGTGGATCGCTTTTCCGGGGGTGATAATCCCTTCAAAAAAAATTAAAATAATAATAATTTGGTCACTCAATCCACAACTGTTTGTGGGACACTGCTGTCGCAATTGGCTGCCACGGGTCACCCACAAAATATACAGTCAATTCACTATACAATCTATTCTGCCTATTGAGCCTTAAGATGGCGCCAGTCTCTCAACTCCAATTACAGTCCCCTGCGCTGTGCTGGCCAACATTCCCCCAGATAAAATTGGCTCATTCCTTCATGGCTGTTTGTCGTGCATTGTTGTGTAAAAGTTTGCTGTGTGTCTGCCTACACGTACAGTCATTCCGTTTCAGAGTAAAATCTTGTGAAGTGCTGTGAGACATCACACCAACGTGATATAGCTATCAAATGCACAGATTATTATTTGACCCTCACCCACCAAGGTGCATATACATGCATTTTGCAGCAGGGGTCACTAGGAAGGGGAGAGAGGAGAGACGAGAGGCTGTTGGCTGTAGAGCAGGAGCACTGCTCTCTGCCGAGGAGCAATCACCAGAACAGAGACCTCGAGGTACAGTTAAGGATTTTCTTTGGAAGATCTGAAAGCTCAGAAAGAAAAAACACAATCAAGCCCACTCTTCCACAGACCAGGCAAATTTCATGGATTTCACCCCCCAAACACACACTCACACTACACTAACTCCTGGGACAGCTTCCACGCAGAGACTCCCTGTACACAAAGTTAATCAATAACAAAGTTTAGGAGATTCTTCCAAACAAACATCTCCAATAAACAGCCACAGCTTTCTCCTGTCCACAGACATCAATCTCCTCTCCTGTACCCTTAACGTTGCCAAACAGGTACATTCCCAGTTCTTTAACAGAGCGAATTGAGGCTTTAGCTGGAACTCCCTTCTACCCACCCATTGCTCTGGGAGCATGTCATGGTTTGTCCCCATGGCTCAGTCCTGGTGTTGGGGAAGAGCAATCTCTGGAATAAACTCAGGGTTTTGTGGTTGTTACAAGCATCTGGGCTCAGTCTCCTGGGCGTGCGTGTTTACGTGAAGTTGGTGAACAAAGGATCCAACACTTAAAGCCTCCGGTTGTTTAGAGGGTCGCGGTGTAGGATGTGGTGTAAGATGTGTTCAGCTTAAACTTTAAACATCAACCTGGGTTCCAAAGGGAAACACACGCCTCATCATGAAGTGAGTGGGAAGCCTATGATTATAGACTGACTCTTAGGCCAAGTTACCCCAAGGACTGACTGTCCAACACTCTCCTCACTAGCCTCCCGAGCTCCACCCTCCACAAGCTCTAACTCATCCAAAAATACGCAGTTCAGGCCCTGTCGATGAGCTATGCTGTCGTCAGCAGTGCCCTGGAGTACTGCGGGACCGCCTGGCTCAGGAACTGCACTCGCTAGAGGGGCTGCCACAGAGGGCTGGCTGGATTCTGACATTCCATCGCCAAACATGTCACCTTGGAGCCAATTCAGCCCCAAGGAGACCCCACTTACTTCCCCCACCCCCAAGATGATAGTCACTAGTTGGTCGTTCAACATCAGACAAGTGTGGGTTTGAGCCTCACTAAGTGCATAGTAGGTACCAGGAACTCCCTGCAGAGCTTCCCGGTGGGTTACACAGCTCAGCATGAAACGTGTGAGAGCATTGCCACTGTGTTCTGGTCCCTAGCTCGAGCACACATCCCTTACCATTGAGCGATGGTTCCACCATATTCTGGAGGGACGAGATCACATGGGCCAAAGCGCCTTCTTCATCTAAATCCATCTTGTGATCTTGTGACTGTTTTGCACCAACTGAGCCATTGTGGGACAGTATTGCTGTATTTCCTTATACACAGTACTCCTCCAGCCCAGTCCATCAGGGACCCAGATTCCCAAGTAAGAACCGAACATGAATTGGTCAGGAACCACTGGTACCACCTGGTGAGGGGTTGACGCAGACTCTTGAAGATGGCAAAGAACTAAGGAAAACATTCTTAAATTCAATTTTAATTTGAAAGCCATGTTTCTTCACTTCTGAAAAAGAAACCAGCTTCCAAATCAAGAGTGAATTTAAAACATTTTAAGTTCTCTCTCTAGTGTGTGCCGGTGTACAGAGTACACCTGCCCAGAGCCCGGCACCAAACTGGTCATCTCGGTGACAATAAGGCACTGGGCATGTGATGCTCAGAGCATTGTGAGGCTCTCAGTGATTCATAGATTGTTAAAAGGTGCAGCTCAGAAACAGGTCCTCCAGACCGGCCGGTGTTTATTCTTCATATGAGTGCCCATCCTAGATCCAATTCCTGGTCCCATGATCTGACTCTTTCCCTGTATCCCTCAGCCTTATTCTCCCTGAAACATGCACCCAGACTGTTTTTTAATGTGCACATGGTTACCGCACCGACAACCGACTGTGACAGAGATTTCCGCACTCGCACACTCTCAAATTGTCCATTCTGGACCACCCAGTTCTGATTCTAAAACTATGCCCATTTGTCACATCTTTGAGATGTCTCAAAGCGCTTCACAGAATATACTGTCAAGTGAATTGACTGTTTATTTTATTTTGTATGCAGCCAATTGTGCACAGCAGCGTCCCACAAACAGTCCTGGATTGAAGTGACTAACTTTTTTTAAAGGATTTATTACCCATGGAAAGTCATCCGACAATCAACTGACAACCGGGTTCCTACTTATTGCTGGTAAACAGAGCCATGTAGAGTAAGGAAACTTGCCCAATGTCTTGCCCTGCCGGGAATCAAACCCAGGTCTCTCGCTTGCGAGGCAAGTGCTTTAAGCGCTGAGCTACAGGACATCACATAATAAGCAATGGGGGAGGAAGAGGAGCAGTTGGGGGGAAGTGTTGGTGGGGGTTGATATGCTGCACAGGGAGACTGGGAGCTCAAAGTCCACCAGGGCTCAAACCCATGAGGGTAATGTGACGCCACCTGGACATGGTGTAAGTACAACGTTGCCTTAGGCACAGCACACACCCGTGAAAGGATTGAATCAGACAGGATCTGGTGAGAACAAAATCTGTTGGTTGATCTCGCAGCCAAGTTCAGGTACACTGAGTGCTTTTGATTTCTTATCGGAGTGGTGGAGCCAGTGGGCAGGTAACAGAAGGGTGAGAGAGAGAGGGACAGGTAGCAAAGGCACAGATGACAGATAACAAAGGCACCTTTCAGGGCAGGCTCAAGGGGCCAAATGGCCTACTCCTGCTCCTATTTCTTATGTTTCTTATTTAAGAGACTGGAGGAACTGGAACTTTTTCCCACTGGAACAAAAAAGCTCAAGGTTTGACCTGAGAGAGTTCTTTAAAATGATGCGAGAGTTTTGATAGAGTCAGTAAGGATAACTGATTTCCGCTGGTCAGTGATGAGAGGGCATCAATTTGACATAGTCAGTGAGTAAATGGGGAGGTTAGGAGGAGTTGCTCCACACACATTGTGGCAGCATGTGGAATGCCCTGCTGGGAGTGTTGGTCGAGACACGATGCATATTGGCTACATAAATACTATGAACAAATAACCTGCGCAGGTACATGGAAAGGGGACTGAAAGGACTGCTCTTGAAGGAGCTGGCACAGGCGCAATGGATTGAATGGCTGTCTTCTGTGCTGTAAATTTCCATGGTTCTCTGGTCCTTTCAGCAAAGCTTCCAACCCTTAAAGCAAACCGTGGGAGGCCTTGACCATCAGGTCAGTGTTAGGGGAACAACTTGACTGAGACTGATGCAGAGACCCTCATTACAAAAAACCTTGCTGAGAGATTTACTGAGTGAGGTGAACTAGAAATGAAGCGGACATTGTTTTGGAGGCAAAGCTGGCCGCTGCTCTGTGCACTGGGCTTTGCGGCCACACACAGCAACAACAACTTGCAATTATATAGCGCCCTTCACACAGGGTTGCGTCCCAGAGCACTTGACAGTGATGGAGTCTGACAACGAGCTAGCGGGAGAGAGAGTGGGGAGGTGACCATAAGCTTGATCAAAAAGCAAGGTCTTCAGGTAGGATTTGAAAGTGGGGAGGGCCAGTGGGGAAGCAAAAGTGGTTTCTAATGGAATATTTGACAAGGGAACGTCAGAATCCAGCCAACCCTCTGTGGAGAGCATAATACTCTGTGGAGAGCATAATACTCTACCGAATTAGGTAAATAGGGTGTATCGCTCCAGGTTTAGAGACTCTTAACTATGGTGACACTGATCTGATCAAAAAAGTCAGGCTAACCAGGAGAGAAACAACACCTTTCCTGAAGGAGACTCCAGTCAGTGGGCAGATCTCTCCCTGACAACGAGAGTGAGAGAGAGGAGGACTGAGTGAAGTCTGGAATCTCCAGCAGATCTGTACACTCCAAGACAAGCATCAAATGACCTGAGAAATTAAAATATTGGCCACTTCATTCATTCTGACTTTTTTATCTGAATGTCCCACTGCTCAAGCATGTAGGGGCTGATGTGATAATAATCTGTACAGTCACGATTTGAGGAGCCAAAGCCGCTGATAAATATCAACTCGGGGTCTTTTTCTGCTATAAATAGCAGTCACTGGCCACACTGAACACAAAGTCATCTTGCGACTAACTGTGAAGATGAAGTTCCTAATCCTCCTCCTTCTTGTCGGGCTCCTGGCGATGGAGTCAGCTGTTCAAGGTAAAGGCGCTCTCCTCTTCTGCTATAATCCACCCCTTTCCCTTCAGGTCCTGAGATCGGGTTAGGCTGCGGATGCTGGTGAGCTAAGTGATTCTTACACTCCACACTCGTCTCCGCTCCTCCTAATCCCTCTTCTCAGGCACC